ATATACCATCTGGATACATGAGAAAACAAGCACCACTCCCCCTCACCCCCAAGAGAGGGTGGATATATCCACTTTAAAAACATACACGAGCTGAGCATGCCTTTGATGCCAGCAGATGGACCTCTGTGAGTTCGAGGCCAACTAGCACTACATAGTGAGCTCCTTTCTCAGAAACATTAACAAATCAATGAAACAAGTAGAAATAAATAGCCCTTGTTTGAATGTTGGCTCCCCAAATTACCCCCAAACCTCTTGTTGACAAAACAATGAGAATGAACTACCTGACAATCTCTGTAGAGTCTCCCATTGAGTAGGGTGAATTGGAATATTTACCGAGATTCCAGAGTTTGCTTGACACTACCATGTCAGGGTAAGGGCATGCCTTGGTTAAGACTGGGTAAGAATATGGCAGAGGAGGTGCTGGAGAGCTGGAGCAGCAGTTCAGAGCACTGGCTATCTTAAGTGGGCCAGTTTGGTTTCCAGCACCCACATGGCAGCTCACAACTGAAAACAACTCCAGTTCCAAAGGATCAGGCACCGTCTTCTGCCTTTCACAGGCACCAGGCATACATCTGGTGCACAGACATAAATGCAGGCAAACACCTGTACACATGAAATAAAATGTATTTCTTTTTAATTTTCAAAAAGGATTATGATATAGGAGTGGGAGAGATGGTTCAGTGGTTAAGAGCATTTGCTGTTCTTTCAGAGGATCAAAGTTATGTGTGCACCCATGCCTGTGTTTTGTGTGTGTGTGTACACTCTCTCACACACACATTAAAAAAAAGAATATAATGTAATACATGAATCCTGATGGCCACGGCAAAATATGACTAGTGGTTTAAAAAGACTATCAGTACAATTTATTATCTGACGATTTCTACTAAAGGTTGTCTCAAGAAGTCCTGGGATAGACAATGAAGTGATTTTCTTAGCAGCTAAGTGAGGCAAGTGCCCTTCAGGGATGACTCCTACATTAGCACAGCTTCAAAGTGTCCTGTCCATTAGTTTTAGCCAATATCTTTCTGGGGAAACAGAAGCTTAACATGTGCAAGGTCGTGGCTTTGATCTCATCGATAAAAATGGGGAAAATACACATCACTATGTTTCCTGCCATAATGATAATGGACTAAACCTCTGAAACTATAAGCCTCCCAAGTGAAAATTTTTCCTTTATAAAAGTTGCCATTGTCATAATGTCTCTTCACAGTAATTAAAATCCTGTCTGTCTGTCTATGCAAGAATCTCTTACTAGTTTTCTACAACTAATAGAATTATTAAAAGTTCAAAGCTGTAAAAAGAATAACAAGGGTAAAAATAATTTTTCTTCTATTAAATAGAAAAATGGTTTACTTTATGGGGGATGAATGAAGTGAAAATTAACAATAAAACTTCTTGCAGAATGTAAAAAAAAATAAAGGTCAAAGCGGGGATGGTGGTTCATTAATGTAATCCCAGTTCTTGGGGACAGAGGCTGTAAGATCATCAAGATTCTAACCACCTTGGGTTATATACAGGGTTCCAGCATAGCCTGGGTTACAGAATGAGACCCTGACTCAAGAGATAAAACAAGAAGTCAATAATAAATGTAGCAAAACAAGTTCAAAGACAATGAGACTCAGGGACAACTTGGATGAAAGAATTCCCATTATTCAAAGTCTGCTTATGCATTTTCTAAGTACATACATGTACACACATTCATAAACTAACAGTAGTTGGGTTGTGTGGAAATGTGTGTAGACCTGTTTTAGCCCAATGATGCCACATTTTGTTGTTGTTTTCGAGACAGGGCTTGTCTGCATATCCCTGACTGTTCTGGAACTTGCTTTTACCCAGATTGTCAGTGATTCTATAGTTATAATAATGTTAAAATAAGGAGTTTTCAACCATCATCTATTTTAGAATAAAGCCTTGAGCTATAGGAATAAGTCCTGACTACTGGTCTTCAAGGGATGATCATTTCGAGACAGTTCAGCCCTCTCATGTCCAGATATGAGCCAATCTCCATCTCCTCTTTTTCTGCTCCTATGGCTAGCTCTTCTCATGACATCATGCTTCATTGTGTTATAAAAAAATCTCATATGAGCACCACTTGTGTGGACATCCACCAGGATATCAAGACTCGATTCTCTGGTCATTTGTCTTGTGAGATTTTTCTCTCAGGCAGGGAGAGACGATACAACTGAGATCTTGATCACCAGACAGGAGGAAGGGAGGAGAACTCTGAACCTCACAAAAGGCACAAAGATTCATTTAGAGCACACCCCTGCACGTGAGAGAATGCCATGAGTCAGTAGATAAAAATAATTCAACCATGTAAGTCAAGGACCAGCCACAAACATTCAGATCCCTGCAAATCCATTAGGCAAATCTTGAGAAACATTATTTAAAATCTATAATATTTCATAACTGGTGAATGGTGGAAGGTGCTTTATTGCTCTAAATGATGTTGGAGAAAAAATAAAAACCTAATTCTCAGAAACATTACTATGTCAAAAAACAAAAACAGAAATCCAACCTTAACCCCAAATTTTGAAAGCATAATCACCATCATTTTTTAAGCCTGCTATACAAATTTCCTATGTTCATCTTTTGTTCCTTCTTCCTCCTCCTGACTATTTGTGTCTTCAAGAACCTCCTTCCTGGAAGCTTTGTCTTGGGACTGTAATCTACACTAAACTTTTTCCTCTATTCTGAATCCTTTTAGAACTTAAGTTTATTTTTAATATATTTTATTACTTATAATAATTTTAAATACATTTTGATCATACTCCTCCCCTTCCCCAAGTCCTTCCAGATCCTCCCACCCCCACTTATCCAACTTGAAATTCTTTCTTATAAGAACAAAAACCCTATACAGCAACCCCCTCCCCCCCCAAAAAAAAACCAAGGAAACAACACCCAAGAAGGAGGAGGAGGAAGGAGAGGAGGAGAAGACCAAAATATAACCAAATAAAAGCACATTTTAAAAAATATGGAGTCCATTATATATTGATCAGCTAGCTATTCCTGAGCATGAGACCTGCCCTGGAATGGTTGATATACCCAGTGTTACTCTATTGGAGAAAACTGATTTTCCATACCCCACCAGATCTAAATGGCAGTTCAGTTGTTAACCTTTACCCTAGTGGCCAGGTTTTCATTCATTCGTCCATTCATTCATTCATTCAAAAATAAAATAATATAAAATCAAAACTATTACATTGAAGTTGAACAAGACAAACCAACAGGAAGAAAAGAACCCAAGATAAGGCACAAGAATCAGAGAGCCACTGGTTTGCACACTCAGGAATCCCATAAAAACACTAAACTGGAAGCTATGATACATATGAGGAGACCTGGTGCAAATATGTGCAGGCCTTTCACATGCTGCTTCAGTGTTTGTGAGTTCTTATGAGGTCTGCTCATGCTGGATTTAGAGGGCCTTGCCTTCTTGGTGACTTTTTAAAAAGAATTTGCTAATCTTGTTTTATGTGGATGTTTTGCTGTGTTCCACATGTGTGCTTGGTGCCCTTGGGGGTCAGAAGAGGGTGTTAGATCCCCTATACCTGGAGTTGTGAACAGTTGTGAGACTGTTGTGGGTGCTGGGAACTGAACCCTAGGTCCTTTGCAAGAGAAATAATAGCTTTTCAACCACTGACCCACTCTCTAGCCCCTTAAAATATATTACATTTATTTATTGTGTGTGTGTGTGTGCATGTGTGCCCAAATATGGAGGTCAGAGGACAACTTGGAGGAGTTTGTTCTCTCCTTCCACCATGTAGGTTCGAAGGATCCATTCAGACTGTCAGGTTTGGCAGCAAGCACCTTTACCCTCTGAGCTATCTTGCTGGCCCATTTTTTAATATTTTAATGTGTAGTTTAACCTAGAATTTTTAGAGCAAATTTATTAACTATAAATTGAATATAATAAAATGTATTCAAATTTACATTTTAATGGGTCTTGGCAAATACATAGATTATAATCACCATCTTAGTTAAGAACAGAATATTTACATCACTCCAAAATGACCCTGCATACACTTAACAGCTGATTCCCCACCGTGCCACACTTTTGGTCTTTATTTTTTTTTGTCTGATACTGGGGATCAAACATAGGGCCTCAGAAATGCCAGACCAATACTCTAGCCCTCAGCAATACCCCGGCTTTCCAACCTACTTTAGTCTTTCTGTCAGTTCAGATTAGCTTGATCTAATCTAGGCTTCCATCGGGGAAATATTACAGACTCTGATATCCGTCTTGCTTGGCTTGGCACAGTCTTTTGGGAATTATCTGTGCTGTTGCTTGGCATGGTAGACTACGTCTTTAATCCCAGCACTCTGAAGGCAGAGGCAGAAGGAGCTCTATGAGTTTGAGGCTAGCCTGATTCATATAGTGAGTAGGCCAACCAAGGTTACAAAGTGAGATCCTGTTCAAAAAAAAAAAAAGAAAAAAAGAAAGAAAAAGGAGCCAGGAGGTGGTGGCTCATGTCTTTAATCCCAGCACTCGGGAGGCAGAGGCAGGCAGATCTCTGTGAGTTCGAGACCAGCCTGGTCTACAGAGTGAGTTCCAGGACAGCCTCCAAAGCCACAGAGAAACCCTGTCTCGAAAAACCAAAAAGAAAAAAAAAGAAAAGAGAAAACAAGAAAGAAATGAAGAGATCATTTCTGACATGTGTAGTAATCTCTTATGCCTTTCTGCTAGATTATATTTCATTTTACTAGTACATTTCAATTAGTGAGTCCATGTACTTTATGCTGAAAATTTTGGATATTTCCAACATTTACTATTACAAAATTAGTATGGATATTTGTGAAAATTCCTTATGTGGATATAGACTTTCTTTTAAAAACTGATTTGGGCTAGAGAGTTAACTGGGGTTCAGTTCCCAGCATCTACGTGGTGGTTCACAAACATCCTTAACTCCAGTTCCAGAGACTATAACACCCTCTTCTGACCTCCACAGACACCAGGCACACACATGGTGCACATACATACTTGTAGGCAAAACTCATACACATAAAATAAATTCATTTATTATTGTATTTAAGGTGTGCCCAATAAATAAATATTTCCATAAATAAAGGCACATATCTTGAGGTGTATATAGATGGCAGAATGATTGTTACTATGGTGTCAATTACAAATTATCTGTCATCCCATGTAGTTGGCTTCCTTTGTGTGTGCCTAGTAAAAGCAGTCAGCTTGAAGCAATTTTTCAGTATACAATATAACACATTTAACAGTGAGTGACCTTCACATCCTCAATTCAGTGTCTAGACTGATCCAGATCACATAATTGTGTTTGTATCCTTTGACCAATATCTTCCTATTTCCTCCCTCTCCTTGACCCTGGTCATCACTCTTTTAACTTCTGTTTCTGTATTGGACTCCCTGTTCCCCCCCCCAAAACCTATTCAGGAAAAGCCTTTATTGAGGCCTAATATTACAATACCTTGAGGAAGTATTCCAGAAAAACTGAAAGCAGTCCCATGAAGGGCATGGAATGCTTGCACATGGCTTCCATGATAGTTCCATCACCAATCACTACTCTAACACGTGTACCAATTGGGAGCTTTGGAGACGAATCAATCATAAGGTTTTTGTTGTATCCTTGAGGAGATGTACACATTTCCACAGCAAGACTAGCTGCAGGATGGGTGTGGTTGCCTAGAACCCACAGAATTTGTCATGGCTGTGGGAAAGTCTAATAGAAGCCAGGCAATTTGTCCTGAGAGGTGTCGGGAGCAAAGCCTCCTAAGGTGGAAGTTAGAGCTTCCAAAGCAGCCATGGTTGAAATGTTCCTTCAACTGGAGAGGCTTTTCAGGTGTGATGACAGGGTTGTCAAGGCAGATGGCAGACTGGTTGTCAGAGCAGGGGCTACTTGCCTGACGACTGACAAAAAGAAAGGTCTGTCAGCTGTCACTCAAGGGCCCAGCGCCCACTCTGAACAGTTTGCTCATTCACAAAACAAAACATAAAGGGGTCCTTAGAGTAAAGACCTAGGAGAGTAACATTCTTCACAATAATTGTTTGGTCCTTACGCAAATACCACTTGGAAAGAGCTGGGTCCTTCTGACCTATCACATGATGAATGGTGGAAGACATTCCCACATTCTTTACTCATGTGGACATTGAACTTTTCCCACGTGACCCCTGACATTTACCCTGATGGTGAGAGCATCAGAGCATTCACATATTCTTCCTGTTTATTTCTCTCCGTTGTGACTCACAGACGCTTTTAAGAGGAAGGACAGCAGGCTTGTCCACATTCCTTATGCTCCTAAGATTTGTGTTTGGGTGGAATCTGTCATGATTCTTAATTTTTAATTTTTAAATGTTAATTAAAATATGATATCACTTGCCCCTCCCCCTTTCTTCCCTCCAACATTTCCCATGTGCCCTCTCACTCCCTCTCCAATTGATGGTCTGTATTTTTGATATATATATATATATATATAAAACATTTATAAGCATACATATTTATAAACATAAATACAACCTGTTAGTCCTATTCAGTGTTGCATGACTTCTGGACTTAGCATTTTATATTGGATAATTAATTAGGGGTGTCATCCCCAGGACAGGCTAATTCTCCCTCTTCCAGCTGCCATGGCAGGTAGTTCTTTATCTAGGAGTAGGATCCTATGAGATTCCCCCTTCCACATTAGCATGTCCACTGTTGTTGTCCATTGTTCAGGTCCTAGATAGCCATGTTTTGGGGTGTGTGGGTGCATCTTCCCTGTCATTTCTAGGAAACACAGCTCCCATCAGATGTCCTGATCCTCTGGTTCTCACAGTCTTGCCACTCCATCTTCTGAGACACTCCCTGAGCTGAAGATTCAGGATGTGTTATAGATTTACTTGTTAGGGCTGGGCACCCCACGGTCAATTGGTCTCTGCATCATGACTAGTAGCAATTTTCTCTAATGGTCTCCATTTGTCGCAAAGAAGCTTCATTGATGAGGGATGAGAGCTCCGTTTATCTGTAGATGCAAGGATACATTTTAGAATGCCGCCAGAAATTATGCTGGTCTAGTGAAGTTACAGAAGTAAGCTCTCCTCTAAGATCTGTGATCTCACTAGCCTGGTGTCGTTGGCTAGGTTTATAATACCAAGCAAGACTTCCCTTCTGTTGAACAGCCCTTAAGTTCAACTAGACATCTGTTGTTTGCCACTAAGGCATAAGAGCCACTATTGAAGTGTGGTACATATACTGATGGGATAGTATTCAGCTGTAAGGAAAAATGAAATCATGAAATTTACAGGTAGATGGATAGGTGTAGAAAATAGTCTATGCCAGAGGCAACCCTGACCCAGAAAGACCAAAGCTGGATATGCTTTATCATCAGTGGGCCCTAGCTCTTAGTCTTCAGATGTGAGTGCACAACCTGAAGAAACTGAAGAAAGCAGGGAAGTAAAACGGGCCCATTGGCGGTGATACTAGAAATGAGGAAAGCAGGATACAGGTGGTATAGAAAACGGGGAGGGGCATAGGGAGAGATCTTACTAGTACTGATCATGCCCGTTCTCTCCTTGGCTAATGGCCTCTTGGGCAAAGAACTGCCCCCACCCCTACCGCTGACTTTGGACATGCTGTCCTACTGTACTTGCAGGAGATAAATTACAAGACTGCTAAACCTTGCAAAATCAGGATAAGACAGCCTTTCTACCTCCCTGCTTCTGTGTTGGTCAGTCTGATACCCTAGGCCTTAGCCAAAGCTGGTTGCCCCTACGCTGCTGTGAGGCTTTGGATGACTGTCCATGTAGCCTGCTATTTCTGTCTTTGTTGCATCTTTGGAAGTTGCTCACCTGAACTTCCTGCCTACCCTAGTAATGTTATCTTTCTTCTCAGGTCTTTGACAAGGTTGAAGATCAGACTGTCACAATTATTGTTCTCTCTCCCTTGATAGAAATATTAGGTACAAGACTTAAACTTTTCGGCTTAGACCAGCTCTACAGTAATGTCTGTTATACTTTTACCCTAGGATGAGATAGATATGTAGTACTTGCCATTTGCTCTTGTCGTTTTACTGGCTGTAGATCTTGAGGGTATATGTTCTCACTTTTCCTTTTCCTAGCACAACTTGATATTTGCCATCTTTGTATATAGTTTTGTATCAAGTCTAAACCTTTTCTTTAGACTAAAAGGGAAATTGTAGGGAGAGATCTTACTAGGTACCTGTGGCGTTGACCATCCCTGTTTGGGCATGGCCACAGGTGTGTACAGGGCGTGTGGGATTTAGGTATGAGGGGAGGACATGCTCTCTGTCTCTCAGGGTTCTGGTCCGGTCTCAGAGGGCAGCTGAGGTTGGATGCTCGGAGCGATGACCCTGGGTTATTGGTTTCTCTTGTAAGTGATTTCTCCCCAGTAAAATTAACCTACATCATCCCTATCCCATTACGGTAACTTTACTGCAACAGGAGGGGCATTTAGCTGGGATGGGAAACGAAAGTCAATACATAAGGAGAGAGAGGAAGGAAAGACAAACAATGATAAGGATGTTCAATAAACCCTCATGGAATCATATTAATTTATATTTACCTGAAATTACATATGATGTGTACTCACATATGTGTGTACAACACACACACACACACATACACAGAGTAACCTCCATTTGAGTTGTTGGTCAGGGTAGTCTAAGTGATTCCCAAAACAATATAAACTATTGCTCTTGCTCTTTGTTGCCTTCTAGAGGTCGGATTGAACTTTTTAAAGACTATATGTATGTATACATATATACATATATGTATATATACTATTCATACACACATGTGTGTGGTTGAGGGACTGATACGTGTTTATAAGAAAACTTCGGAACTATATATATATGCATATATATGTTTGTGTGTACATACATATATATGTGTATATATATATGTATATATATATTATTCGCACACACCCGTGTGTGGTTGAGGGACTGTTACGTGTTTATAAGAAAACTTCGGAACTATATATATATATATGCATATATATGTTTGTGTGTACATACATATATATGTGTATATATATATGTATATATATATTATTCACACACACCCGTGTGTGGTTGAGGGACTGATATGTGTTTATAAGAAAACTGTGGAGCTGTCTTGCAAGGTGGCTGTGCACTGTTTGGTCCCCGCCAGCTGTGCAGCTCTGGTTGCTCCGCAGCCTCATCAACACTTGCATTGTCAGACATTTTATTTTTGTTGCTCTAGTGAATGCATAGTGATGTCTTGTTGAGGTTTCATTTGAGTTTCCCATATACTAACCACTTTGAGCATATTTTCATATGCCATAAGCAGGAGGAAGAAACTGGATGATGGACTGATGGATGATGGACTGATGGATGATGGACTGATGGATGATGGACTGATGGATGATGGACTGATGGATGATGCACTGATGGATGATGGACTGATGGATGATGCACTGATGGATGATGGACTGATGGATGATGCACTGATGGATGATGCACTGATGGATGATGGACTGATGGACCGGGTCATGTTAGGGGGCCACATACAGAAGATGAATTAAGGTGCTATTGTGCAATAGACAGGCATCTGCTGAACCATTTCTCTATTTGCCCCTTTAAACAATAGTTTATTTTATGTTTTATATATTAAAATGTTTTTAAAATATTTTATGTTTTTATCGTTTATTTTTTAAAGTAATTTATTAAGTCAAAAATAATTTATTTTACCTGCATGTATTGTATGTGAATCACATGCATGTCTGGTACCCACGGAGGTCAGAAAAGGTCTTTGGGTCTCCTAGAACTGGAGTGGTTGTGTGAGGGGGTCCCTGCAGGCATCCAGGCAGGGAAGCAAACTGCATGAAGAGATATGAATAAGAACCTGAAAGAAAAAAAAAAAAGAATGAGAACCTGATGCAGACTGACTTCATCCACTTAGATCAGACTTCAGGGAGTCTAATGCCAGGCATTCTTTGTCAGCACATTTAAAACACAGTACAATTTGGGAAAAGGTTTCCAGGCAACAGTCAGTCTACTTCCAGGTGCACAATAAAGCTTAAGGTGTGACCACACAGAGACTCTTTTACACAGTACATGTGACCACGAGGGTGGGTTTTATAGCAAAAAGGCCTTGAATCTAGTGTAGACTCCTGTGGATAGCATAGAGGTCACCAGGCCATAAAGTACTTGTGACATGTTCTCAAAGGATGGGTAATGGTCTAGGGAGGGAAAAGTCTGGGATGAACATTCTGGGGGGTTTGGATGAGGTCTGCCTCTATAGCAGAAGGTGGGTAAAGTCTGCCTCCACAGACAGCAAAAAGATCACCAGGTCTCTGACAAAATCTACTCTCTGCCTTCTGGATAGAATGTAGGGATTTGCTTTTTTATCTTCTTCATTGAGGAGATGCTATGCATGATTAGCCTTGCTGTTTCTCTTAGTGCTTCTCTGTGTGTACAAGGACCTCAATGCCCCCAACTACTGTGATCTGCCATGTGGGTGCTGGGAATTGAACCCCAGTCCTCTGGAAGAGCATTCAGTGCTTTTAACTACTAAGCCACCTCTCTGGTCTCTCTTTTTGTATGTAATAATTGAGTGAAATAGAGCAAAAGTAGATAATTACTTTCTTATGAAACTTATAAAAGTCAGGCGGTAGTGTCGCATGCCTTTGATCTTAGCACTCAGGAGGCAGAGGAAGGCAGATCTCTATAAGTCTGAGGCCAGCCTGGTCTATAGAGAGTACTCCAGGACAGCCAGGGCTACTCAAAGAAACCTTGTCTTGAAAAACAAAACCAATCAAAACAAAACCCAATCAAACAAACAACAAACAAATACAAACCCTATTTAAAATATACTTATTAATATCAATGAAAATTGAGGTAAACCTTACCAATCCCCTAGTAGCAATGAATGCATGCTGTTCAACTTCTACATAAGCTCTGCAGTAAGTGTGATCTTCAGGTAACACATTAAGAAATGATATATTGTGCTGTGTGCCTGTGGGCATGTCTGTGGGGCATTTTCTTGATGTAAGAGGACCACGGGTGATCAAAATTACTGGGTAGATGGGTGTTGAACTGCATATGAAAGGTAACTGAACACAAGTTTGAGAGCAAGCCCATAAACATCCTTATTCCTTGGTATGGTCCCTGTTTCAGGTCCTGTCCCCAAATTCCTGACTTCACTCCCCTCAAAGAGGGACTATGACTTAGAAGAGTAAAGTGAATGAAATATACCATTTTCTCCATGAGTAATTTTTGGTGAGAGTTAGTTTGTTACAGCAACAGAAAAGCAAACCAGGACATTTATTCTAAGATGTAGAGAGGGAATTTCATTTTCTTCTACAGCATCTAAAGGCTTCAGATTGTTTCCATGGTCTCCTATTTGGACTTCTTGCCTGGCTACACTCAGGGCAACAAGTTTGTGTTTATTTTTTCATGTTTTGCTTCTTGATGACATGATAGGAAATGGGAAATGTGGCCTCAGAATTCTCTTGGCAAACAACACACACTGTTTATGTCCCAGAAAACTAGGAGCCAAATCAATTTAATTATCACTATATATCTCCTCCTCCTCCCAGCTTTAGGGGCCAAATGAGCCCAAGCTCATGACCCTCCCACTGAGCTGCACCTCTACCTCCTGTAGGAATTTTTCTTAACAGTCTGTCTGTAATTGCTTCATGTGCTCTCCACGATGCTGATAAGAATCATGTAATTTACAGGCCTATTGAAATTCAGTGTAGAACGAATGAATAGCAGCATTACATTTTTCTATTCCCTGGCTTGTTAAATTTCAATGCTTATGTTCAGGAGGCTTTCTGCCTTCAACAATGGCTCAAGCAGTTTAACAAATCATTTAAAGCGAGTGTCTCCGAGTCCATCTTTCATGTCAAAAGATTTTCTGTGCATCCTGTACATATCCAGTCACAGTCCTCATTCATTCTCTCTCGAGAGTAAGTAAGTCCTGACTGTAGGGTACTTGTCTCCTTTTTTCCCTTTCCCTTCTGAGTTTAATTTACAGGTTTCTTTCTCTTCTTCTTCTTCTTCTTCTTCTTCTTCTTCTTCTTCTTCTTCTTCTTCTTCTTCTTCTTCTTCTTCTTCTTCTTCTTCTTCTGCTTCTGCTTCTGCTTCTGCTTCTGCTTCTCCTCCTCCTCCTCCTCCTCTTCCTCCTCCTCTTCTTTCTCTGCAGTTACATTATTTTCTATTTGTTGATTTGGCTCAGTCACTTTGAGGCAAGATCTTCAGTAGCTTAGGCTAGCCTTGAACACCCGATCCTCCTTCATTCACCTCCTGAATGCTTGTATATAGTCATATACCTCCATGCCTTGCTCTCTTGAAGCTACTTGTTATAGACTCACATATGCTCTAGATAATTTCTTCTATGGTTTTTCGTGGTTATGTGTGCTTATTGATTATATTCCCCTTTATTGCATCCTATCTGCCCTCCTTACTTCTGTAAATTGGTATTTAGATATTAAGGTCTCTTCAGTTTCAAGTTTTGGCAAACCAATTTCATAGATGGTGGTGTGCACTTCATCAGGAAGCCTGCCGTGTGTTTCTCTCTCTTTTCCTGTTCCCTGAGCATCTATGGATTTTCAATGACCACACAGTCTCCAAGGACTGCAAGGTGAGAATGTCCTCACATTCCATTCCTCTATTTTTAGTATCTTCATCCTCTGTACTCTTTGCTTTTAGTGATTGCCTTTGTTAGTTTTTTATTGCTGTGATAAAATGACACAACCCAGGTAATCTATAAAAGAAAGCATCTAATTTGACTTACAGTTTCAGATGGTTAGAGTCTGTAATGGTGGGGTGAAGGAGCAACTGGGAGCTCACACCTTTACTCACTACAGGGAATATCAGGAGTCTTTGTTTTGTTTTGTTTGTTTGTTTTCCCTATTTTTTCCTTTTGAAAATTTAAATTAGAAATAAGCTTGTTTTACATGTCAATCCTAGTTCCTTCTCCCTCCCCTCCTTTCCTGCCCTCCACTGACTCCCTATCCCATCTCCTTTCTCCTCCCCAGGGAGGATGGGGCCTTCCACAAGGGATCTTCAAAGTCTGTCATATCATTTGGAGCAGGGCCTAGGTTCTTCCCTATGTCTCTAGGCTGAGAGAGTATCCCTCTATGTTGAGTGGGCTCCCAAAGTCCATTCGAGTGCTAGGGACAAATACTGATCCACTACCAGAGGCCCTAAGGATTAACCAGACCTCCAAACTGACAACCACGTTCAGGGGGCCTGAGTCAGTCCTGTGCTGGTTTCTCAGCTATCAGTCTGGGGACCATGAGCAAACCCTTGTTTAGGTCAGCTGTGTCTGTGGGTTTCTCCAGCCTGGTCTTGACCCCTTTGCTCATCACTCCTCCCTCTCTGCAACTGGATTCCAGGAGTTCAGCTCAGTGTTTAGCTTTGGGTGTCTGCTTCTGCTTCCATCAGCTACTGAATGAAGGCTCTAGGATGGCATATAAGATAGTCATCAATCTCATTATCGGGGAAGGACATTTAAGGCAGCCTCTCCACTATTGCTTAGATTCTTAGTTGGGGTCATTCTTGTAGATCTCTGAACATTGCCAGATTTCTCTTTAAACCTATAATAGCTCCCTCTATTATGGTATTTCTTTTCTTGTTCTCTTCTCTTCTTCCCCTGATTCAATTGTCCTGCTCTCTCATGTTCTCCTCTCCCCTCCTCTTCTTCCCTTCTCTTTCTCCTAACTCCCTCTCCCCTCCCCCCATGTTCCCAATTAGCTCAGGAGATCTTGTCCTTTTCCCCTTCTCCAAGGGACCATGTATGTCTCTCTTAGGGTCCTCCTTTTTTCCCAGCTTCTCTGGTGATGTGGATCGCAGGCTGTTAATCATTTGCTCTATGTCTAAAATCCATACATGAGTGAGTACATACCATGTTTATCTTTTTGTGACTGAGTTACCTCACTGAGGATGGTTTCTTCTAGTTCCATCCATTTGCCTGCAAATTTCAAGATTCCATTGCTTTTCTTTTCCTCTGAGTAGTATTCCACATTTTCTCTATCCACTCTTCAGTTGAGGGACATCTAGGTGGCTTCCAGGTTCTGACTATTACAAATAATGCTGCTATGAACATAGTTGAACAGATGTACTTGTTGTGTGAATGTGCATCTTTTGGATATATGCTTAAGAGGAAATTGCTGGATCTTGTGGTAGGCTGATTCCCATTTTCCTGAGGAACCCCCATACCGATTTCCAGGGTGGCTGTATGAGTTGGTATCCCACCAGCAGTGGAGGAGTGTTTCCCTTTCTCCACATCCTCTCTAGCATAAACTGTCATTAGTTTTTTTTTTTTAATTTTAGCCATTATTACAGGAGTAAGATGGTATCTCAGAGTTGTTTTGATTGGTATTTCCCTGATGGCTAAGGATGTTGAGCACATTCTTAAGTCTCTTTTAGCCATTTTTGGTTCAGGCCCCCACTTTTTAATTGGATCCTTTGGTATTTTGGAGACTTGCTTCTTGAGTTCTTTGTATATTTTGGAGATCAGCCTTCTGTCAGATGTGGGACTGGTGAAGATCTTTTCCCATTCTGCGGGCTGCCGTTTTGTCTTGTTGACTGTGTCCTTTGCCTTAGAGAAGCTTCTCAGTTTCAGGATGTCTCATTTATTAATTGTCTATCTCAGTGTCTGTGCTACTGGTATTATGTTCAGGAAGCAGTTTCCTCTACCAATTTGTTCAAGGGTACCTCCTATTTTCTCTTCTAAGAGGTTCAGTGTGGCTGGATTTATGTTGAGGTCTTTGAGCCATTTGAACTAAGTTTTGTGCATGGATAGACATGGATCTATCTGCAGTCTTCTACATGCCAGCATCCAGTTCTGCCAGCACCATTTGTTGAAGATGCTATCTTTTTTCCATTGTATAATTT